TTTGTGTGATTAACACTTGTAATCAAATGGATAAAACTCTAGGGAGTGCTAAAAAAAATGCTGTCCTATGTTTCATTTATTAATTGAAATGTGTATAAGAAAAAAATATGAGGATGTTACATTTAGCTCCCAAGGGATGTAAAATTCAATTTCGACATTTAATAGAAGGATATGAGAAAAGGTTAGATGTTAAATAAAATGCTGAGACATTTGTGAGCAGGATGAGGAAGATAGTACATGATATGGGGGGTTAATTTGGTTCCAACAAGTTATCACAAATTAAATATTTTTTAAAAATTAAAGCTTTTGTCCCTGTATGACCAGGATAACCTGATATTCAGATACAGCTGCTGCATTTTTTACATATTCTATGCTTCTGGGTTTTTAATTACTAAATGTTCCAAAGGTGAACCACTCATCCAACAACACTGTTAATAATTTCAATCAAGAAGATCTTTGGAAATGACATAGTTTGAGTATTGGCAATATTTTCTGTGTGATGTTCTGCTTAAAAGTCTCTTGAGGTGCAGTTGCATAAACCAGCTTATGGTTTATCTTTTATTTCATGAACTGAAAAACAAATAAAACCACAGCATTCAGGGTCATAAGAGGCACTGCTAGAACACAATATGTTTTAAAATTAACAACTACTGCAAAAGGCTAGATGAAATTAAGTTTGTACTTGTAGTACCAGATTTAATAGTCTGAGCATTTAATTCACACAAAGGAATTACTGAAAAGGAGTACAGATGTAGTGATGAGGATTTCAGCTCTACTACCTCTGGGATTCCCAGTCTATCCCCTAAGCCACTGACATGTGGTTTTCTTGCAGCCTTTGTCCTCTAGCTTTCTTCAAGAACTTGAATTTATTTCTGCACCAAAGCACAGCTTTAACAGCATGGTGAGAAAGGGCTGCTGCATGCTATTTACACAAATCCAGTGTCTTTGCGTGAGATTTGATATTTATGGAAGGACATTTTCAACAGTATTTACCACTATTATGGCCTCATTACATCTTCTATGAGCCTATAATGCCACAGGAAACCTCAGCTCTAAAAATACTTAGCTTTTCCTCTCACCATGCAATGTTGGAAGGCTGAGCTCTCTACTTGGAATTTTGATTTTCACTGATCTTTTTCATTCATGTAGTTTTGTATTTTATATCACAAATGGTACATTTGTGAATTAACTGTGCAAGACAATGAATGACAGTGAAATTACAGACAGTCTTGCCAATAAGAAGGTAGACTGTGATCTGAGAAATTCTGGGTTTTTCCAAATCTATCATGTGTATCTTATATGACCTTATATGACAAAATGCTAAATAGACCATGATAATAACAGACCATGTTGGTGTGGGGAGGAAGAAAGTAATAATTTTCTTGATCATAATAGAACTGATAGTAAAATATTCCAGAGAGAATTACTTCATATTATAGCAAAATACCAAAGGATCACCAAAGCTGCACAAAAGCATGCAGGTTCATCTGCTGCTAGACTCCTGAGCAACACAACTACAGAACGATGCACCTGACAGCTGTCCTACTTGTAATATGTTGGAAGTGTTTGTTCAGAGCTCTCTCTGATCTGTGTGGTTAACAAATCTAAAGGAGTGGAAAAGATATGTGAAAATGAAGTTCTGCACAGCAAGAGCTCATATCTGTTATCACTTGACTATACTGTGGTACTTTGAGTTCATATGTCTTAGTTGCAATCTATAGTGTCTGGTTTGTTATTTCATCAGCGTTAATACTTGAGGAACCAGGCAGTGTAAACTGTTTAATAAAGTGCTATCTATTTTCTTGTCTTTACCTTCTTTTCCTTGGATAATTTGGCACTAAATTATCTATTTTGTAATGGCTTCAGACCTGAACAGCTAGTGCTTTGTGCGTGCAATAACAGATTACTAGTCTTCACGTCACATCATCTAGGTATGTCATCTTAAGGGATGAATAGATGGAAGAAATTAAACAGCACATATTCTACTATGGTGTTTATTTGTCACAGGAAATCCTGAGCACATAATTGAGGATCTTTAGATTCATTAGATTATCATTCATTCCTTACAACAGCTATCCACCTTCTCAATTGATATTTTGTTTTTCTGTGTGAGGCTGTGATGCTTACATATTACTGAGGTACATAGCTTTGCTCTGTCACTCTTTCAGATACAGTTGTTCATGTCTGCTAAGAATACCACTTCCTGATCTGTAATGGTCCAATAAAGCTAACACGATCCCAGATATAGAGGCAAAAACTGGAATGATTTATTGATATTTCCAGTAAGCAGGTTTTACATTGGGGAAGGGTGATCAGCTTTACAGGGAGGGAGAAAACAATGGGATATCTGATATCATCATGCAAAGTCTCTCTACATCCTGCTGGGGGAGTTCAGGACAATGGATCTTGTCTGGTCTTTTAGATGGTGCTTTTTTTTCCCCAGCCTCTGCGGCCCAAGGTTTCCTATTTAATCCTAGCAGGTCCTTTGCTGTTGGTGTCCGAATTTCAGGCTGCAACACTGATCAGTTTGCAAAATCCCTCCTTGCTCTACAAGTACATTCTGGCACTCTAGTCTCTTTCTCGTGGGCCATAGGAAAGGTTTTTATGTGACTCCTCATACATAAAAATATATCAAGTTTTAAAGTATCGTGTTATCCTTTCATTTCTTAGTGTACTACTCCCTACTTGTGGTCATTTTTATTTAACTCCCATTAAATCAGTTCCCTATTGCATTGCAGATACGGGCCATGACCAAAACCAGAAGGCCTGTGGTTTGAAGAGTAAGATCCTGACTTAGAAAGGTAACCATAATGGCTTGAGTCCATGAGAATTTTGACACTAATTTCATTACCTCCAGAACGGGCTTCTTATTATGTGTTTCATATCTGAAGCTTGAAAATCAAATATATCAATAATGAATAATACCTTTAAATATTTGCTCATGTGTTTTTGCCACTTCTTGGTCCTCTCTGCTTTGGTAATATGGGTTTGCTCTTTATGCTCTGGATACTGAATTATCTGTTATGCCTATGATTTCACCAAGCTGTTCACTAACCCATGTGATGATGTAAAATGTCATGTCCATCAGTCTGATGACAATATGTAGAAAAATAGCTTCTTTTACAGGAAACAGGTTCCTTAGATACTTATTACAGGATAGTAGTACATGAGGCTGCTGTAATACTGCTAGGCTTGCCTCTAAAGAATCATAATTGTTAGTCTAAAGGAAGTAGATATTGATGTAACTGCCTGCCCAGCATCAGAGGCACCACCAGGCTTACCAATCACAGAATACTTAATCAGAGAATGTATAAAACAGCTGATGTGGGGTCTCAGGGTCTAGTTAATCCATCCTTCTGTCTCCAACAGGCCTGACATAAAGTTTTAAAACCGTGCAATAAAAAATAATCATTTCAAATGTTTCATTTTTTTTTATAATTCAAATATTTCTTTATGTCTAACCTAAGAGTTCAGTCGTTTCATTGTAAGTTTGTAAGTTCCCCTTCTGCACATGATGGACTTGAAGAACCAATGATTCTCTTCCACTTCAAAGTAATCTTTCATGATTTTGAAGACTGTGTCTCAGACTCTGATGACTAAATGATAAACCTAAGTTCTTCCAGCATTTCTCATAGGTCATATTTTTCAAGTTTCTCTAAAATCATATAGTGCATGAATGAAGGAATATTGTTTCCTGCGTTTACAGTCTGTACTGCTCTTTAAAAAGTATGTATTCATAACAGCATATTATTGATTCATGCTCAACTACAATCCACTGTAACATCTAAATTTTCTATTAACTTAATCCAGCACGTGTACAGGTAATTATTCCCCCAGACTCTCTGCTTGAATTCAGATCACTGCACTCTAATAGCATTCTCTAAAATGATGGCAGTCTTTACAACCATCTTCAGACTTAATAGGCATATTCTCTATTTCATAATTTCATCATGTATACCCTATATATCCATATAAATTCATAAATATTTATAAATATATGTATGCAAATATAAATGAATAAATATTTCTTGAGGCATGTCACAGCTGAATACTTGGGACATTTAAACTTTCATAGCCTGTATGAGGTTAGGTGTATGGTCTCCATACAGACAAAGGAGCCCTGAGGAGCAATGGCAGGTGCGGGAAGCCAAATAATATCATGATTTAACTCCTTTGTGACTATTGCAGGAGTCATCAGACTGTGAAAGTCTCATCCTCAGCCATGAAGGAGCACTGAAGCCCCTGCACTAGCCCCATGGGGGACAGCTAACACCAGGAATCAGTGGGGAGGGTGGCAGGGTTGCCCCACAGACTGGTGACATTGCCCAGAAGTGCAAGTTTTGCTGTGGGGTGTAGGGAAGAGCATTTCGGTATTGTGCAATGCTTGTGGGACGTTTAGGAGACCAAAGTCAGTGAAATAGGGGTGATTTGGGGAGGGTCAAGTGTGGAAAAATAGAGAGAGAGAGTATGAAGGGAGTAAATTACACATAAAAGGTGCTGGTCTTTTGACACCTGAGCCTAATCATTGCAGTGTCTCTTGTCTCCTCATTAAACTCCATGTCTAGTATTCTTTTCTGGGTGTGGAGCTTCCTGGCTGTGTGCATGTGTAGAGAGGATCTGAATGACAGTGGCTGGAGTGGATCAGGAGTGGGAGGCCCATGTGCCTGGTACCAGTATGGGGTACCAATGAAGGTGTGCTGTCAGCAAACCAAATTTTCCAATTTTTCATATATTTGTCAATATATGTAAAAACTTTAGCAAATTATACAAGGAATATTTATATAAAACACTCCCAAAAAAGAAATTAGAAATAAGCAACATGTACTCAGTTTAATAATAAACATAAATTGCATTGAAAAACTTTTCAGCTACAGAAGTACTGATTCTGCAGTATTAGAAATTATAGGACAAAGTATATGAAGTTTTGAGTGGTTTGTTTTTTCATATACAATCAATTATATTAATAAAGGTTCTATTCAGTTACAAAAGAAACAAGCTCGAAGACCAAAATATTTTATTGCAGGTTTTAATAGTTTCTTATCCAGAGAAGCACAGGCACAGGCATAAGTCAAGCTTTTTACTGCTCTCAGAAAAAAATGAACATTCAATCCTTCTACAACCAGTTATTTCAAACGAAATTAACATACAATGTTTGAGATGTTAAAAATACACCAAACAACAGAACAAACAAACAAAACCCCCTTGAAGAACTTTACACTTAAGGTAGAATTGTAATATGTCACATGTATTTGCTGATATGATACCTAATATCAAAGCACACTTGGTAAAGCTCTTAGAGGTGGTGGTATAGCTATTGCAACTCTTCATGGTTAAACTTATGTCAGTGTTGTCCTGTCAGAACATTTAGCTCACTCCTGCTCTCTGTGCAGCGGTTTGCGCTCTGGAGGTAGCATTGGCTGTAACTTCTGCCAGCGTTGTGGAGGCCAGAGAATATGAGTAGCTCGAGCATGCAGAAGTCCAAGAGAAACCTGCAACCAAAATATAAAACAGAGAGATTATTACATAATGTAAATAAATTAAAACGTGAAAAATACTAAGCATGTGATGATTGTTAGAGCAATGGGAAAATATAAAACAGAGAACTGAGTCCTCTCTCATGAATGTAATGAGGGGAAAAGAAAACTTCTTCAGTGACATTTTTTTTTTTTGATAAAACATTTTGTGGAATTCAAAACAGCTTGCTGAAATGCACTGTCTTCAACAAAGAAGAAATAGGAATTTTTTTCATTTTAAAGAGAAACAGGAGAGGCATTCTATAATCCATAAAGCTTTTGGGTATTAGTTATTCTGGATCAAGAGAACAAAGTAACAGTATAGTCTCTATACTCCATATTAGGAACCACAGAGGGAAAAAATATATACTTGTTTTATTCTTATGCTTTAATGATCTGATATTGGCTCTTTTTCTGTAAACTCAGTTCTTCTCTTCCATTCCATTTCTCATTAAAAAAAAAAAAAGTGATTTTAGTAAGCAGGTAACTCAGCATTTTATGCAAATAGATACCAAATGGTCTCCTAGGAATATCTTCAGCTAATTTTCTTGATTTAATTTCATAGGATTAATGTATATTCACCAGTTTCTCTCTACTACATAATCAAATCAGTGAAGCTGAAGTGGTATATATCTAATTCCATATTCTGTAGCTTGATGAAGCAGGTGCTGAATTACTTGAATATAATTTGGTAACTTAATAACCCATGATATCTAAAAGAATCTGAAGTAGATCATGGAAATTGCATGGATCGTATTTCTCTTGTTTGATCCCTTGCAGGGACCACTTGTTTCCCAGATTCATTGCAGCTTTTTTTCCTACATTTAAGCAAAGGACAGGCTGCTAAGTGACAATGCTTTTTCAATAGGATTGAGCAATATTCTTTTTATATCCTGACATACTTCTGTGTAGTTTGGTTAATATTTATGAAATTCACAACACCTTTTATCTTAATTAGCCCAAAAAGTAGGCTGCAAATGTAATATTACCATGTTTTTTCCTTGAATATACAGCACGATAGCACACACATTACAGGCTGGTGCCAAAATATAAAACCACAGCAAATCCCACTGCTGCATGTAAAATATGACGGCATTAGTACAGAGAAAAATGTTAAAATACTCTTTTCAAACACAAATAACATCTCATTTTCAAAGCTCTGTGTTTTTCTCAGTACATTGCTTGTTACTGATGTCAGCAGGAGGTCTGCAAGCAGACTGAGAATATAATAAATGAATCAAAACTTGTTTTAAGCTCAGGCTGGGAATAATTTTGCCCAGAGGATTACTACTATTGACCATCATCTACCCTGAAACTAATAAAGAAATCTCCTTCCTATAACACCTGATTTACAGGACAACATGACTAGAGTTAAAAAGGAAAAACAGATATTTTTGGGTGATGGAAGCCTTTACTAAATAACAAATTACACTGATTCTATAGGACTTCTTTTATAGTAACTTATAGGTTCCCTTTAAAAGCACCTTTATGTTTGAATTCTGCAAACAACCTTAATAACTTTTTTCCATTGCCTATTATTATTCTTTACTTACCACACCAGCCATGAATTTCACTGAGGAAGAACAGAATTGTTAGCAGAGAATAACCTGCCCTTGTTAACAGGTTTACCCTAATCAAGGTTAGATATGGACAAAGGATGAACTGAGAGGCTACACTTTCTGTTGTAACAGTGAAGTACTGAAATAATCTATTAATTAATCACTTCCCTTACAGACATTATTTGCTTCCTTTAAGTAAAAAAATAAGTTTACCCCCTTGAAACACTGTCTTAACTATAAGAAAAATCAGTATTTTACAGGCACAAATCCTTTGAGGAACATATTTCATTTACAGACATGAGTAGGAGATGCCAGCAATCTAAATAACTGGGGTTTACTTCTACATTATGATCTATTTGTTATTCTTGCTGTGGCAACAAGGCAGTATATTGAATTGAATCTATATTATTGTTCCTAAGCCTTTTAGGTTTGTTTGGGTTTTTTTAAATAACCTTTGAATATTAAATTGAATAACTGAGTCATTCTGTTAACACAGCAATTTTATCTACAAAATAAGTTTTGAATTAATAATACTGTTTTAAACTGTTATTGTGATAAAAGCATATTTCCTGAGTCTGTTGTTCTTAGTATGTTAGTTCTATGGAGACCGATTAGTTTTGGCGCTGCATAGGAAAAGATAAGTCTAAGATTGATAGTGCTATCTGCAGTGGTATTTACAACAATCTTGCTCATTCTGTTCTTACAGATTGGGATAAATGCAGCTTTATTAGAGACTTACAGTACTTTCACTTCCCCTGGTACCAAAGTACAGGTACTGCTTTTCCACAATGGGAAAAGCAGCATTCAGATTGTATATATGTAGCATGCAGTGGAGCACATCAAAATTTCTATGGCAATACAGGTGTTCAGTTTGGATCTCGAGAAAAGGAAAAGTCTAGATAAGGATATGACCCTAACAAGGATATTCAGCTTTCCCCAAGCATGTAAAGTCTACCCAAAATTCGAAATTCAAGCACTGCAGCTCCTAGTTGTGAGTTCACAGAATTCCCCACAGATTTCTCCTTGCTTCTTTTTTCCTTAAACCTTCTTGATTTCACTCTAGTTCAAACAGCCAAGATTTCAAATTCTGTAACAACACTGCAACAAGGAAGAACAGCACCACTTAATATAATCTGAGAAACAGCAATGCAGAAGCAAAAAACCCAAGCCTCTAAAACTTTTTCTAAAGTTAGACTTCCTAACTGGTCAGTTTGCTAATTGAAAGTAATAACTATAGAATCATAGAATCAAAGACTACTTAGGTTGGCAAAGACCTCTATTTGGTCTTTGGATCAACATGAAAATCCTCTCTGAAGGTGTACTAGAATAAGTACTTGAATATGAATCTACTTCTGAAGACAAAGAAATACTATCTGACAAATCATCTTGTTTCATTGTATTTAAGCCTAGAAAAATGTCAATATTCCTTTCAATACCCCCATCTTCCGGTCTCATTAATAAATATTTAAATTGTGCAAATCCCCTACAATACCACTGAAAGAGAACAAATAACAGCTACCAAACTAGAAACAGAACTAAACTACAAGTGCTACAGTAATAGTAGTACCTGTGTACTTGAGAAATTTCATCAACAGACAGAAAATTACAATTTAAAAGGCATATATCAGCCTCTGGTTTTGTAGAGAAACTTTTGCTTTAGTATCTTAAGCTGAGTTCTACTCTAGCAATATTGCGCGGGCCAAATGCTGTGTCCAGTAATAAACATAGAAACACAAAAAAATAAAATTTTTCTCAAACCAAAAAGAGATAAAACAATACATAAAAATACAGTGTTTCAAAATATACTTCCTATTCTCTGAAGGACTACATTCTCATTACCTGTACTGAGCTTAGTAAAGAAGCTTATATATAGCCTTTTACATGGAAAGCACTATGGAACATCAGCTGTATTCAAAATTTTCTTCTCAAATTTTCTGTTTTGTAACACAAGGTCATCGGGGATGGGCGAGAGTAATTCTGTAGCATTAGAGGTCTATTCAGACCACATTGTGCTGGCTTGGGTAGTTGTTACTCCCCACAGAGGTTCTGAAATGTGCCAATACATATTAGGTGAAAAATTCCCTAATATGGAGAAATCCCGGGAGATTTAGAGATGGCACCATTTGAGCAAGCACAGAGCTTTAACGAAATTTTCCAAATCTAGTAGTTCATAGCCCTTCTATGTTGGATTCCGCTGCGGCCCGGGTTCAATTCCCGGTCAGGGAACTCCTCCGGGCAGATGGAGCTCGTCAGCCCTGTAAGGCCATCCATCTAAGAGAAGGTCACTCTAAACAAACCTACGTCCTGAGGACCTCGCTGCCACCGTCCAAGCTTGCTCGGTCCCGGCAGATGAACCTCAGGATTAAAGGGTGGGCTCAGTTCAGCGCACACTGTGTCTCACCTAAAAAATCCACTGCGCAGGCTCGAAGGGTAATGACCTTTCCCAAATCTTCGTTCGCGAAGACTGGCCATGAATGAATGTTGGATTCCAAAATTTGGAAATGAGAAAAAGAAAACTGCTAGATTTAAACAAAAGCCTTGGGCTAACAGATACTGCGGAAAAACCTCCATCTAGAGTCCAGACAAGGATCCATTGATGTCACGGGTTTGGACTGTCCTGCCCAAGCCTGGAAAAAACCATGCCCTGATCTCATCAAACCTGTGCAGAAGACGTATTGTACCTTATCTCTCCCTTTCTGTTCCCTGGATCCTTGCATTCTGTAAACCCAAATTCTCCCAATATAAAATGGGGTTTCTCCCATGACGTATGTGTAAGACCCCAAATTTATTAACCTGGGTTTTTCCCTTATGTCATCCCCTGAAACCCCCTGTTTGTGACAAATTGTAATAGTTACAACCCCCTGTTGAATATGTAGACCCTAAACTCTGTAAATATGAACCTGTAAGTCCAATAAAGCATTCCAGTTTCTTGCCCCCAAACCAGGATCGTCTTAGCTTTATTGACTGCACTACCACCTATCTCCCATCAGTCAGTCAGCTGCAGTTTGACTATACTGATATCCTGAAAGAATTGGAATGACAAATTTGCATGGATGTTGAAAACTGTGTAAAGGGATCAGGTTAATGAGAAAGGTGAGAACCAGTTCTAGAATATTTCAGCCCCCAAAACCTCAAAGAAGTCCTCAAGATAGAAACACTTAGGTAACTATGCAGTGTTTCAGCTATGACTCTAACAAAAATATATAGCATGGGATAGCTATCTGTGTCAAATTAGATTGCTTGTCTTTAAGAAAGGTTGTGGCACTGGGTTTTGATATTAGATTGTAGCTGTAAAACTGTCTCGCAGAGAATTGTCCCTGTAAATTAGTCTCTTAAAAAAATCCATACTTTAATAGAAAGTAAACATAATTGCTATTACATTTCATTTTTTGTACATGGTTGAATTTTGAAACAAGC